ATATAAATAATTATACATATATATATTTATTTATAAGTTTTTTCACACACACACACACACACACACACATATATATATATATATATATATATATATATATATATTTTTGGATTATTAGCTCTATCTCTGATATTGAGCTTTCTAATATACCTCATATAATATATAAATAATTATACATATATATATATTTATTTATATTTATATACACTTTTCACACACACACACACACACACACATCACATATATATATATATATATATTTTTTGTTTCATTAAATAATAGCTTATTTTGTCTAATTTATAATAAATTCCTTATCAAAGATGAGAATTACATTTAATATATCACACAATACAGAAAAAAACAATAGCGACTGTCTGTTTTTGTCATCTTTGATAATGGCTATGTAAGTCGAAAGATTAAATAGGATTAAAAATATATCATCAATATGGACAAAACTTTCATCTTTCAATGATAATGTTGTCATCTTTATCAGACAATATGAAAGGAATTTATTTAAAAAAAAACAGACAAAACTTGTCTATATTATTTAATGAAACATGCATCAATGAAAAATGCTACCTAAATATATATATATATATATATATATATATATATATATATATATATATATATATATATACATGATTGAGGAGGCGGATTTTTCATGTCTTGTCATGTATCGAAAGATACATGATCGCCTAAGCGTTTATCACGCATGGCACAAAACTTACTGATATGGCTGAAAGGTGACACAATAAATGGCTACTAGAAAACAGAAAAGAACTATCTCTTAAAACATGTTTTGAGGAAAAATGTTTTTCAAGTCCATTACCCCTCTTTTTAGTATTCATGAGCGTTTCTTTCCTAGCTTTAGGTTTAAAGTCTTGTGGAATGTCAACATCTTGATTATTTCATTATTTTCTTTTCTTGTTCCATGTGCTATCCATTTTAGTCCTCCAGTGATTCGGCCTTTGTACTTTGGTAAAGTTCTTTGTGATTCTATAGCGCCAGTCCATAAGCTCTGATGAAGGTTTGTCTTCTTTAAGACGGAAAGGATTCAGTCATTTGAAGCCATTGATTCGATAAAACGGTTGTACATAGCTGAGAGATGATGCAATAGCTGCTTACTAGTTTCCGAGTACACATGTCTGCTAGAACGGCTAGCCAATCCTCATTGAAGGCACATACTCAGATGCATTTGTGTTCGTTAAACACACACAGAGCACAACTGCCACCTTCGAGACATATTGAAAGAAAGAGAGGCAGAGGAAAACAACGCATGACTTATATCTAAAATCTTGCTAAGGGCTACCAGAGATAGGAAGTTGTGAAGAGCCATGAGTGCCCATACCCCGAAGGGAGACGGCACAAAAAAAAAAGAACAAAATTGATTGATTGATTTTGTTATATATCGTCCCAATTCTTATAAATACGTGGGATACTATTGTAAGTGGGAGTAATATGCTATCTACGCTGGCAACGGGAGTTTTCAGCGTCGGAAGCCCTTGTCGTGTCGAACTCTCTGCTTTTGGGCAGAGAGGAACCCGGACGAGCCTATGCCGGATGGCAGAGTCTCGTCCGGGGAGGTAGACAGATACCCGATCACGCGTATGCGACGTCTACGGGTAATTTTTGCCTGAGCCCACGGGTTCGGATTTTCCTACATTAAATTTGGCCTTGTGCCGCATCCTACCTCGTAGGGAGGCAGATAAATATCGTAATATGCTGTCTAAGTTGTCCACCACTAGCAGTGGTTTACCTACTTCACGCCTCTGGCGAGTATTGTATTTTGTTGATGTTATAAAGATTACCATTTCATTTCCAACCTCCGTTTCGGTTATTTCTCAATCAGTAACCTTTTCTAGGTTACAACAGATTTGTATTTTACGGATTATCAACCGTTTTGAGACTATTTAAAGCAAAAACGTATTTTGGGTTGGTAAGATATTTTTTGAGATAATAATGATTTTCTGATATAAATCTTACTATTTAGACCATAGCTGGGAACAGAAGAGGCGGACTCATATTTTTCTCAAGGGTATTTGAACGTAAGTGAATATAACAAACCCGATTGGAATTCGAAATTGACTCTTCGATTTCTCATTCCGAGCCCTTATCCATTATCCCTATTGCACATCCAAGCTTACAGTATTCCCCAGCGGTCACCCATCTTGGTAATGACCAGATTCAACTTTTATTTCAGTGATCGCACGGGAACCGCTGTTTCAACGTGAAGTGGACGTAAATCGAAGAAGAAAAAGAAAAAGAAGAGGAAGCAGCAGAAGTTGAAGATGAAGAAGAAAAAGAATAAAAGGCGACGAAGAAGAAAAAGCAAAAGAATAAAAAGAAGCAGCAGCAACAGAAGAAGAAGAAAAAGTAGAAGAAGAAGAAGAAGAAAAAGAAGAAGAAAAAGAAGAAAAAAGAGGATGAAGAAGCAACAGAAGTCGAAGATGAAAAAGAAAACGAAGAAGCAAAAGAATAAAAAGTAGCAGCAGCAGAATCAGAAGAAGAAGAAGAAAAAGAAGAAGGAAACAAGAAAAGAAAAAGAAGACGAATAAAAAAGTCGAAGAAGAAGAAAAAGAAGAAAAAGAAAAAGAAGAGGAAGCAGCAGAATTTGAAGAAGAACGAGAAAAAGATTAAAAGGCGACGAAGAAGAAAGAGCAAAGGAATAAAAAGATGCAGCAGCAGAAGAAGAAGAAGAAGAAGAAAAAGAAGAAAAAGAAAAAGAAGAAAAAGAAAAAGAAGAAAAAGAGGATGAAGAAGCAACAGAAGCCGGAGATGAAAAAGAAAACGAAGAAGAAGAAGCAAAAGAATAAAAAAAACAGCAGAAGAAGAAGAAAAAAGAAGAAGAAAAAGAAGAAAAAGTAAAAGAAGAAGAAAAAGAAGTCGAAGATGAAGAAGAAAAAAGAGGAGACGGAGAAGAAGCAAAAGAATAAAAAGAAACAGCAGCAGCAGCAGAAGAAGTAGAAGAAAGCGAAGAAGAAGAAGAAAAAGAAAAAGAAGAATAAGATGAAGAAGAAGAGAGAGAAACAGAAGCAGCAGCAGTCGCAGATGAAGAAGAAGAAGAAGTAGAAAAAGAAGAATCAGAAGCAGCAGCAATAGCAGTAGAAAAAGTAGAAGAAAAAGAATAACAGCAACAACATAAGAAGAAGAAGAAGAAGAAGAAGAAGAAGAAGAAGAAGAAGAAGAAGACTATAAAATGTTGTTATATGTAAAATATTGTTTGTAATTTAATTCCTATTTCTCATGTCCGGCATAAATATCCAGTTCCCTAACGAAACGTCTCTACAATAAACTGAGAACCGCGTTAATCATTACGCAGGTACCTAGAAGAAACAGAAAAGGCAAGAGAAAAGAAACCATTCCCGAACCTCAACCTCTTCTTCGTCATAATCGACAACATTATTAATGGCTCTTCCCTAAATTACAAATGATTACCGTTTTCAGTTCTGTACTTTTTTTTTCATTTATTGCTTATGAATTTATTTTATTTTCATTTTCATTGTAATTTCTTATTTAATTGCCTTATTTTCTTTTGTCAAATCCGACACGTTGTCGACAGAACACATTTAATACATATCATATTCTATTAAATGTTTTGATGACTTCTCTCCCAGATGCCTATCTTGGGCCACGCGAGATTTGGTCAATGGCGTTACGAAATTCAAATGTAATCGAGTACCAGTGAAAATTAAAACATCGAAGGGACATTTGATTAGATAATAATTATCTATTTTCTAATATGAAACTTATGGAAAATATTACCTTCAGAGACACGCTCTGAGTGTATGTTTGCCATCCACATAGACGGATGTGTAATAACACATTCTAGGTGACCGCTATATTCATGGTCAGAATGCTGACAGAAAGAATAAGTGAAATAGAGACAGTCCTATACATGTGTTCCATAGATTGTACAAAGACAATAATTCATTATTATTATTATTATTATTATTAGAAGAAGAAGAAGAAGAAGAAGTAGAAGAAGAAGAAGAAGAAGAAGAAGAAGACGACGACGATGAGGATGAAGAGAAAGAGGAAGAAAATACAACAAAAACAACAACAAAAGAGGAAGAAGAGGACGAAAAAACTGAATGAGAAAGAAGAAGAAAAAGGAGAAGGAGGATGAGGGGAGGAGGGGGGAGGAAGACAAGAAAAAGCAGCAGCAGCAGAAGAAGAACAATGACAGCAACAAAAAGTGAAAGAGAAAGACAAAAATAAAAGAAGAAGAAGAAGAAGAAGAAGAAGAAGAAGAAGAAGAAGAAGAAGAAGAAGAAGAAGAAATTGGATAGAAGGACGGGAAATACCAACAGAAGCAAAAGAAAAGAAAAACGAGAAAGCCAAGAAGATGGGACCGAAAGAGAAGGAGAAGAAGTGTAAGAAAAAATGTGAGAAAAATAGAATTATCCGAGAAGTTGAATAGAAGGAGAATGGAGAACTAGAAGAAAGGAAGAGAATGAAAATAAGAAAAGGAGTAAAAGAAGAAAATGAAGTAGAATGAAATGAAGGATAGCAGAAGTGAAGAAAAGGGAGGAAAATTAGAAGTGAGACAGAAGATGGGGAAAAGAGTTGTAGAAGGAAGAGTAGAAGGAATTAAAAAGAGCAAAAAGCAGGAAAAACATAAGACGAAGAAAAGAAAGGAAGAAAAGAACAAATGAAGCTTTCAGGTTAGAAGTCAAACTTTTCTAATGAACCTTTGTTGAAAAAAAAAAACACCCCAAAAAAACGAACGATGACGAAATCAGAAATGTGGATATGGAAGAAGAGGTGATAAAAATGGCGGACTTTTCATTAACTGAGACTCGTTTAGAAGAATGATGAAAGAAAAAGCAGGTTAATATCAATGTTATTAGCTTTCTCCCTTTGTCAAGAAATCGCAGTGAAATTATTATTTTCTGCTGCCTAGCAACTCGGCGGTCACGTGCTGCATGATTGTGAAAATCAAGGTATTTGGGGTGAAGAAATTGGACTTGTATTTAAACAAAAAGCACCTGGTCAGTTTTGAGAAAACGTCCAGCTTATAAATGGATAGGATTGAAAGGTTAATCGTGGGAAGAAGGAAGGGGAATATTTTAGAGAAAAGAAATAAGAGAAAGGGTGAGTCGTTTGACTAATGAGACAAAAAAAAAAAAAGAAAAGAAAGAGAGAGAGGAAAGAAGAAAAAAGAAAAATGTAAGGCAGAGAAATATGTTTCTTTATCTGTCTGAGTCTGTCCATATCTATCTATCTATCTATCTATCTATCTATCTATCTATGTCTGTCCATATCTATCTATCTATCTATCTATCTATCTATCTATCTATCTATCTATCTATGTCTGTCCATATCTATCTATCTATCTATCTATCTATCTATCTATCTATCTATCTATCTATGTCTGTCCATATCTATCTATCTATCTATCTATCTATCTATCTATCTATCTATCTATCTATCTATGTTTGTCCATATCTATCTATCTATCTATGTATCTATCTATCTCAGTCTGACCATATCTATCTATCTATCTATATCTATCTATCTATCTATCTATCTATCTATCCCAGTGTACATATCTATTGATCTATAATATAAATATCGTCTGACGGAATCCATCCCTCTTCAGGCTTTTCTTTTAATTAATTTAGTTTTCCATCTCCTAGACTGGTCCCCATATCAAGGCAAGAGAGCCTAGTCAGGCCTACTATTTACCCTACAGCTATGGTGGGGGGGGGGAAGAGTGGTTAATATCTCTCGCAATAGTGTTTGTATGAGAATGGCCGTAACGAATTTAGGCGGTATTCGAACTTGGTCTGACATTTTCTCTTTCCGAATTCCTAACCTGAACATCCACATTTTCGCACACTTTGCGAATTGTCTCGTCTCTGGTATTCGCTTCTTAAACGTCGTCCGGTACTCTAGGGTCTCTTCGTTTCAGCTAACCTGACTCCAGGACCGATGGTCGGCTCGAATTTTATGGGCTTCATTGATACACACTCGTGCACCAAGTCGGAACGCAGGGCCTTTCAAAAACGCAGAACGTAAACATTGCTTCTTCGCTGGTAAGCGAGATTGGCATATCAAATATCCAAAATTACCTTGATTTGCACACTCATCAATCATAGAGTTACCTGCGGACGACAAAGTCACGGTCCCCTGTCAACCATCAAAAACAAAAGGAGTCAAGACACTAAAAATCGAACGGATCTTATCAACATCATTACATTAGTTTCAAATAGATACACCATAAAAAGAAACCATAGGAAAGTCTATACAGGGTGCGATGTGTAAATTGTCGCCATTTTATATTTTTAATTTCGCGCATGCGCGTCGTTTGTTTTTGATTTTGTCGACGGCACAGTATAGTAGGGGCAAGTTGGGTACAGTCTGTGAGAAAAAGAGCACCATGGTGCAACAGAAATTTGGAAACGTCATGCTGTACTGCTTGGCATTCGCGCCGGAAGCTCCAATACGAACATTTCTCAGTGTTTGGGTGTCAATCTGAGGACAGTGCAGAGGAATCGGAAAAGAGTTGGATGAATGATTACGAAGGTGTTTGGAGTGATCCCTAGTGATGGCAACGCTACGCCTACATTCATCATCCTACAGGTCCTCAGGAGATACTGCTTCCCTGGGTCAAAAGTGTGGCTGCCGGAAGGCCCTATGTTTGGCAACAGGACTCTGCACCATAACACACAAGCAGGAGAACCCAGTCATTGCTGTCAGACAATTTCTGTGACTACATCATCCCTTACATCTGACTACTTAACTCCTCTTGATTATTATGTGTGAGGCGCAGCTGAGAGGGACCAACAAAACTCCTTATAGCACAAGGATGGACTGAAGGTAAGGATTATGGCAACATTCACTAACTTAAACAAGGAGACCGTCCAGAAGAGTTTCAGGAGATTCTGAAGCTGCCTGGAGGCTGTGGTTGAAGCCAATGGCGATTTTATTGAATAAATTTACTCTTTAGTATTTCAAGACATTTTTATGTAATTTCGGTAAATATATCTTTTGCGTCATTTAGAAAACAATTTATCCATCGCATTCTGTATATGATTTTGCTGAAGGAAATTAACTTGCACTACGGAAATGTAAAGAACCTTTGCAGCATAACAACTGATAAGGAGGATTTGCTATGCTGGAATAGATATAATTCTTTTTAACGTTATATCACAATGGAACTTAGGCAAGCGTAATTAACAATCAATTCTGGCACTACTTAAATAAACTGGTCCGCTCGCAAAACAATAGGACAAAAAAAAAAAAAATTCAGGGAATATTTTTGTAGATTTGTATTCTGACATTCCAGAAACCCCGAGCTTTGTCAAAACCACAAAATATCGGTACTTTACGTTCCACTCGAACAGCTCCTTTCTACGTACCGCTGCTTTGTGGAACCAACTACCAAGAGGGTACCTCATACTCTGTAACTCTTCACCTCGAGAGGCTCTTGGGTCTTATACAGAGTGAAAATTATTGTTAAAAAAAAAAAGAAAAGAATGAAATCGATCCCTGACATTTTACAGAGTTATTGAATTGGTATTTTTTTTCACAAATATCAAGTTTGAAACTCTGCTTCCATCATTAATATTTCCCTTTTTTAAGCTTTGTTCATAATATCAGGATGTAGTCTACTGGCCTGGAGTGGGCGATAGCTGTGAATTTCAGGTCGTAGAATTTTTCAATATAATTAAATATAAATAAAATATATTAATTACTTTCTCTATCAATCTTTGAACATTAGCGATGTCGCCTTTAAAAAAAAGAAGTCTTTAATTATCCAAAATATATATTTCTTTGTTTATTATATTATAATTTTATTATCTTACTATGTATTCACAATATTTAATTATTAATTACATTTTTCTAAGTCGATATATACATCGATGGTTTTTTGTTTTATTTTTAAAATAAGTGTTCAGTAAGTTTAATTACTTCATTAAGAACTAGCTGAATTACCCGCACCTTGATGTGTGTGACATTTGTTTGTAAGAAAATGATAATTGATTTTAAATCATTGTTATAATTTGTGGAGAAAAATGATGCATTTCAATATTACACAATGATCTTGCCGATGTGATCTCCATCTTCTGGATTTCTCCTTCTATATTTTGAATAGGAGTCATTCCTTTATTTAATTTAAATCAAAAGGAAAAGAATTTCAGTGGGGGGGGGTACAAAAACTGCTTTATCTGACACCTTTGATATGTAATTGATTCAATACTTGATTTAATGAACTAATAAACAGTTTTGAACATTGATATGACAGTTGAATTGTTGCAACAAATATGCATTGTAAGTCACTACCCAGTAATTGGTGATTTCTTCCTCAACTCGACGTCCATATTGTCTCATTTTAATCTTGCCGGTGTGACCTCCATCTTCTGGCTTTCTCTTTCTATATTTTGGATAAGATTCATTCTCATGTTCAAATTTAAATCAAATATAATTATCTAAGTGCCCAAAGAGTCATTCCCTTGTTAAAATTAAAATTTAATTTATATCAAAGGAAAAAAAATTCAGTGGGAGGTTTGTACCAACTTCGGGAACTCTTTTGATCAAAATAAAATATACTTATACAATTACCCTGGGTAATGTAGTTTCAAAATATATATGGCTATGGGTCTATCTCCAAAACTCTAGGAGGAATTCGATAACAAACAGAGGCTACAACTTTATACACACACACACACACACACACACACACACACACACACACACACACACACACACACATATATATATATATATATATACATTTAATGCATTGTATTTGTTAATTAAGTTCTCTTTCATCAACAGCCATCTCAGCCACTGCTAGGAAGATAGGAAGAGAGAGAAATGGAATAAGGAGAGAGAGAGAGAGAGAGAGAGAGAGAGAGAGAAAGAGAGAGAGAGAGAGATTATGACGATCCCCATGCTCGGATGTGAGCGGGTGCGACAGCAACAATCTATATATATATATATATACCTTTTCCTTTATAAAGTTCTTTGAATGTGTAAAGCTGCAGATATCTATGTGCTTGATGGCCGGAATAGTTGTATATTTCTTAACCCAGATAAAAGAAAGTATCTTGAATTCTTATTCTTAAATTAGGCAAGGAGGCCCTCCAGTTTTAAAAACAAAAAACAAAAAAACTAAAAAAAAAAAAAAAACGAAAAACGGACGAATTAATTTGTCTGTCGTGCGACCCTACCCCCAGAGTTTGGTAAATATCAGTATTCTATTCATTCCGTTCTGTTTTCGGCATATTATATATATATATATATATATATATATATATATATATATATATATATATATATATATATATATATATATACATAAGTATAGGATTGGTGTATACGGAATAAATACTGTTCTAAAAAGAGTGCTCAATAGAGATGAGCAAATATAATCATTTATTCGAAAATTATAACATAAAATGTTATAAAATCACTACAAAAATAGCCATTTTGTTTCAACACTTCTGGTATCTTGTGATGGCGTTGAATGTCGTCTAAACCCTTTATTCTACATTTTGTATGACACCAGAAGTTTTATAAATTATAATTTTGAAATAAATGATATATATATATATATATATATATATATATATATATAAAAGAAATATAGTCTTAAGGTGTGCTATATTTA